ACTCTGTCAAAAATCAGGAGACAGTAACGGCAACGCCTCTTCTGAGCAAAAGTGGAACCTGCGTATGATGGTGTGTGTTAATTCACGAGTGCATTCACACACACAGGCAGACATAATTAACTGTCAATGATTGGTTTTGTTATGATTGTCGTAAAAAGTTAAACGTTTTTTTTTTCTTTGCTTTATGCTGACAACGAGTTAAAAATCCAGCTGAAATGGGACCTTTCTCGATCATTAATTTGCTATCTCAGAATTATCTTCCACTTTTCATAAGTCCTTTAGTTATGCATGTATGGGCATTCGTATGGTGCATTAGTAAAATGCATGCCCGTTCCGGATGGCTTTGGCACTTGGCCACAACGGGGGGAGTTAAGTTGTGACGCTCGGCAACTTGGCACAGTACTCGCTGACCATTTGAATGTCACTGGCCAATCCGACATTGTTGTTATCATTCTCTGAAAGGGGTTGGTCGATTCCAAGAATTGTTGAAGCATACAGAGGATCACTATCCAATGGTTTCATGTTATGACAACATCTTAAATGGAAATATATTCTTCAGCAGCTTTCGAATGACGGTAGTTCACTCAACGGAGGTGGAAGCCGCCAATTCCATATAATTGAGAGGCAAAGTAAAGCATATTTCAGTTCATCGTACACACACGGATAGAAATCTCCTTATACCTTTTGGCAAATTTGTATGGCTGATTATTCATAAATTGTATAAGTCAACTAATAAGCAGACGCCTTGCTAAAAGTTATTGAAGCTCATGAAATGTATAAGCGGTCACACATACCTTTTATGCATTCTTATAGGACCTATGTGGTTTGTCTTATGGAATGTATAAGGCTGATGTGTTGGCAAAAATGAATAAGTGAAGCACATGAATAAAATAATTGATTTTCGTTTCGTGCAAGTAAAAGTCACTTACACTAGGTATCGATCTGAGTTACAATCATGTACTTGATCCACCATGACAAGTTTTTCGGTTTGGAGTTGAAAAACCACCGGTTTGATGTGATTAGTATACAAATTGGGTTCTTTAAGGTTATTTAGGTAAATACATATTCGTAATCTGCATTAAAAATGGAACACAAACCTAAAATTTTACCAACACAGGAACTATTTTAAATAAGAACGGTTACATTTGCAAAAATCAGCTCTTTTTTAGCGCCTCGGTGTCACTTTGTAAGGGAGCGAGCTGTCAATTTGTCAGTTTAGTGTCAAACAGTGAAGTTATTATTTTGCTTTAAATCTTGATTTAAAAATAAATTTAATAATGCTCAGAAAACGAAGCTCTTTCAGATGATATGTAAAAACCGATTTATTTTTCAAAATTAAAGAACCCAATTGCCGTGAAATTTTGAAAAGCAAAACAAAAACAACAACGAGTACCGTGTTATGATTATTCGTTTCGGTGACATTAGGTCACACACTGTCACTGTTAATGAGCAGTATCACTATCACTTGTGCTTTACCTTTGATTGTCAGAGGCGCTGTTATCAGTGACGTTTGACATCTGTATGAGAGAAGGAAACAGTTGCCAGTCTTCTGGATTTGTAGTCTTCGATTTCACCCATTTTGAAGAATTGAGGCTTAAAGCGGGGCCCACAATACTGTGTCACCGTCAGCGTTGACGAAGGGGTTCGTCCGTCAAATGACAGGTGTAACGCATGTTAAGTTGCTTTTCCACCGACATCTCACTTGGCGTCTTCACATCGACGCTGCGTCAGTTCGTCAATTTTAATCAGATTCAAATTTTAAGCTGACACTGACGTTGACGCAGCTTTGAGGGTCCCGCTTAACTCATTACCTCATTACCCATTCATAAGCATCTATTACTCATTAATAAATAACTGTTACTTATTTGTGGGTCACAACTACTTATTAATGGGTATTGTTTTACTTTATAAATGATTTTATTTTCTTAAAAATGGTTGAAATTCTACTCATTAATGCATTGCTTTGTGATAAGAGCTCGGATTAAAATATAAAATAATAAATTGACGCATTTTGTTAGAATTCACCATTTTGATTGTAAACATTTTCGAATTTTTTGTGAAAATGACGAATTATCGTGTATTTTTGTTATTCGTCGAATATTTGTGAATTTTTTCGAATTTTTTATTTTTTGCATTTGTGTTGAGTAATGACAAGTAATGATGACACTCGAGAGCAGTGAATTGCCCCTTGGTAGTATCACGTTAGAGCGCATCAGATTTTTTTTTCAATAATTTCAAATAACTGTAATTCCAAATCTTTCTCATTCATCTTCAAGATGGATGTTTAAGGTATGCTTTGATGCAATAAGACCACTGGAAAAGCGCATGGGTTTCGTAGAACATTAGAAAATCAAGAGCAAATTTTCATTATGTCGTAAGTAACATTCGCACCAATCCGAGAAAAATAAAGTTTTGTTTTGATGACCGAAAAGTTATTCCTATTTCCAAGTAAACACATATAATCTCATAGTGATAGCAATGTTTAACATATGCAAATGCAAATAGCTTCCATGCTAAAATACTGGTTTTTGAGTCAAAAGTTATTGTACGTCGTTTGGTGGCCCCTATTGTTACTTAAGTCAAAGTGTATTTACCAGGATATTCGGGAGAATTATCAATTACGTCTCCTTACGTGCAGCCCATTCATCATTTTAGGACCACCGAAATCATCTTAGCAACAAACAGTTCGATTTATTCACTTTAATAATGAGAAAGCGAAACGACGAACGTACACTTTTCACGGGTTTCTCAGCGCTGTTACTTAAGTCAAACGGCATCTCCATAGAAATCGGGTGACTTAAGTAACATCGAAAACTATTTTGATCTGAAGGTGATTACGTCAAAAAGCAATTTGACTGGTAAATAAATTTAAAAATGGGATTTGATCCTATATTCGGACAGTATATAGTGTAATAGCAGGAGAATCGATTGACACTGATAGCTCGACTTTGTTTACCTTTGTTACATTTGACGTAATGAAAATTTGCTCTTGAAATGTTTTCAGAAAGGGGGCTAACAAAATCGGGTCATTACTGTATATCTATATCTTTTCTGGTACCATGGATTTGACAAAGTAAAATTAAAAGAAGAGCAGCAAAATGAAGTACATGATGTACGGCAATGGAGTGATGCTCGTTAAAAATTACCCGGAGACGAGGGGCTGAGTATTTTCCGATTCATCAACCCGACTTGAAAAGGTGTATTTTGTATTTTTTTCGTATTTATGTATTTTTAAGTTTTGTGTATTTTTGTATTTTAAGTATTGTATTTTTAAATCCGCAATCCCCTCATTTTATCGGTCACACTTTCTTAGTGAATCAAAACATAGTGTAGTACTAGAATTTCGACTAGAATGGGGTACGTTACTGGATTTGCATTGGCGTAGCTAGACAATTTATCTGGAGGGGCCTAGATAATTCTAGAGGGGGTCTAAATAATTATGGAGGGAGCCTAGCTAATTCTGGAGGGGGCCTAGATAATTATCGAGGGGGGCTAGATAATTCTCGATGGAGCCTGGCCCCCTGACATCCCCATTAGCTACGCCAATGATTTGCTTGGGACCAATAGGCTAGTCAAGTAGTGAGCCAATTTAAAATCCTTAGCTTCCACCGGTTGGTGTTACGGTTTTATAAGACACAGCTAGGAACTCAAGATCATCATACTAAAATAATGGACGTCGATATATCGTGGAACACATCAGAAATAACATGGGAGACTTTCGGTAGTCTAGCAGGAACTAGGAGTGATGCAGAGAAGGACAACTAGCTCACAAATAGACACGACAATTGGATAGAACATTGAAGAAACAGCAAAAGTTGGTGAGATCGTTTTAAATTGTTACTCATGTTTATACAAACATTGCTTATACTAAATACGCGCCAGAATAACAAACAGTTTTTTTTTTAAATTCTGGAAGTGTGAATGCAATTCATGTATCCAATTGATATATCGATGTGTTCATCAAAATGAACAAGCTTTGTTGGAATGGGTCGTTGGATGTACAGTAAAGCTATCACCTTCTATCGACAGGTACAAACAATTTTCTTCCATAAAAGCACTGGCGGCCAATGGGAAATGGATTGTAGACACGCACACACAAACAGTGTAGTTATTATTTTGCTTTAGATCTTGATTTAAAAATCGAGGAGAAATTCTATGGGTTTGAAAAAAAATACCGTTGTGCTCAGAAAACGAAACTCTTTTAGATTATGTATGTGAGCCGATAGATTTTTCAAAATTAAAGAACCCAATTTAAGCGTAACTATTCAAATCGATGTATCTGCTTTAGTAAACAATCACTTCTATCGATGATTTTTCTTAACTGCTAACTCACCCACGCAAACAAACACCATTATCAGGAAGGGGAATCTCCTAATATGTTCAGCAGTTTGCTCGATCAATTTCAACCCATTGATCAATTTACCCCCGGTTTACGGTTCTGCATTTTGTTGTTTGAATTTAGCAATTCAGGTTTTTGGTCGATGTTTCGATAAGGGAAACCAGCAATTAACCGGGAATTTGGATGCAATCTCTAAATATGTAGCTATATCAAACAATACATTACGTCCTAAGTAACACTGATCGATGCAGATTCAGAATATTGATATATTCTGACCGAATTCATAGCATTTCAATACTTTCCTTTGAAAGGTATATCGGCATTCGTTACACTGTTAATTATCATGATATCCAGTAATCAAATAGATCGTCTAATTCAATAATCTGGTAATATGTTTAACTCAAATCGTATCATTTCGTGGCGTTCTGAAATATCTTTAAAGGCGTAAGTAGATATCAAAACGGGCAAAAATTAAGATGGTCGTATACAATCGTCGCCATTAGAACTATCAGGCTAACACTCTAATAGGTATATCGACCTGTCAGCAGAATTAACCGACCATTTGACGGTCTGGAAAGTGACAATACCTATTCCGCAGAACCGTCAGCGCTGCGATTATGTCAAATTTCGTCTCGCGTACACCAACTAAACATCTGGCAGATTCAAGGTTGCACAAGAGTTCGCTGTTGCTGCTGTTGTTGCTGAATGAAAACTTCTCTGTGCTGCTTATGGACGGAATTTTCTTCTCCGTATAATCAACAGAAAAAAAGTGGATTATTGATTATTTACAGTTTTGATAGATTTGCAGTACAATTTGTGAATTCACTACTTGAATTCAGTAACATTGATGACGAATGCGTGAATGAGTGATTAACTGGTCTACGTGCAGTCAACAAACAATAGTGACAATGTAGTCTGTCTGTTCATAAATAATATTCAATTAGGATCACTCGTAAAGGGTGCAAAATCAATCATCCGTGAAGGCAACTATATACAGGTCTAATCTGATTTATTTCGTCTGATTGGTGGTATGTTAGGAGTTCTAGAACAGAGACGTTCGATTCACTCATATTCGTATTGTAGGTGAAACAGAAGGTCGTTCATAGAGTTCGACATTATAGCTGTCCGCATAAATCCCAAGTGAAAAGTGAGAGTGTGAGGCTTTGTCCCTCCTAGCAGCAAGAGCAATGAACGTTGAACTGAATCGGGTTCGCACCTACCGCAGATGGGAAGACACAGAATGGATAATGGAAAACTCGTTCGAGGTACTGGCCAAGGCTGGATTCTACGCAACCGAACAATTCCTGCACGTCAAGTGCCACTTCTGTGGAGTTACCATTTTCGTGGGAATTTCTGTGTCCAACGTGAGTATTTTTTTTTGTTGCTAAAATTAATTTGGTTACTTGAGAATTCTCAAAGTGCACAACATTTAATTCCGTTTTGAGCAAGTTATAAACAATCTGGGTTTAAAAAATAAGCATAGCATTTTAACTGAATCAAGTGTTTCTGTTTTTAGTCTTCAATATTCAAAACGTCACCTTGACGTAGAAAGCTTTCAGGCTCGCAATTTTGTTTACCCCGTGGCAATCCACGAGCAAAGTTATTTTTATGTGCCGTTAAGGTGATACTCTAAGGAAGCCTCAGCACTAAATGTCAGTTTCCACCAAATATGAAATTCCTACTCCTTGGTTGCTGAGCTACAGCAAACAGATAATAGCAATTTCAGCATTGTATGTTTTGTGGAAGTTGACATTTGTGCTTTTGAAGTTTCACGGTAAGGCTTCGTCACTTGAAAACAAAAAGAACTTGTGACCTAGATCATCCTATCGACAATATTGTAAAGAACATTTTCAGTCCAGACCATGCCTTTAACTAGACCCAGATCCACCGAAATAATCATATCCAACATAGAGGATACTCTTCTAGTTATGTTCGCTAAATATACCCTTGATTATCTTTCCCCAATGCACCGACTAACTCTTACTTTGTTCATTTTCAGGTTGAAGACAAACATCGTGAATTGAATCCCAACTGCGCATTTTTGCTGCACCCCGATCGGACGGATAATGTGCGCTACTTCGATGCGGTAGAACTGACTCGCGAAGAATGTCGCCTGGCAACGTTCGTAAACTGGCCCGTGCCACACATTAGTCCCAACTCGCTGGCCAAAGCCGGATTCTACTACACGTACAATGCTGATCAGGTAAAATGTGCCTGGTGTGAAGGAGTCATCGGCCAATGGGAAGTAGGTGATGATCCATTTGCCGAGCATCAGAAGTTTTTCCCAAGGTGTGAAAAAGTGATTGCGAATAGCATTAGTTCGAATCCTGTTCTGGATCCTAGTATCGGAATACAGCCCGTCAAGACACCCTTTGCTGCACAGTTCAGTTCGTTAGACTCGCGAATTCGGTCATTTGAAAACTGGACTACTGGACTCGTCCAAGATCCAGAGCGCCTAGCTCAAGCTGGTTTCTACTATTTAGGCCGAGCAGATGAGGTTCATTGTTTCTACTGTGATGGCGGATTACGCTTCTGGTTGGCTGATGATGATCCGTGGTTCGAGCATGCAAGATGCTTCCCAAAGTGCCAGTTTGTGCAGCTGGTGAAAGGACAGTTGTTTATCGAAAACGTTCAAAGTCAGATAAAAAATGCCAGCACAAGTCAGCAGCAACTACAACAACAAATGCAACCTGGTGGACAAATCGTGGCAACTATGAACCTCGAGGAAGCACTTGCTACCGAACCTGTTCAATTGGCATTATCTATGGGACTGAACGCAGGTCGCATACGGGCTGTTACTAAACGGCGGCTGGAAACAACTGGTCAGCCGTACACCGATTCTCAAACACTGATTGAAGCAGTCCTGGATGGTCAAATACAAGACGAAGAACTTGAACCTACGACGTCTTCTAGAATGGACCGTCGCATAGAGAGCGAAGTGTCACGTCTTCTGTGGACCGCAATATCTTCCACGGCAGGGCCTAACTTGTCATCTTTTAGTTCAACTTTCTCCACACCTTCGCCTTCCTCAGATCCTGCTACTTCGGGCGTTGCTGCAGATGAAGGAAGGCTTGTCGCTGATTCCAACCCTATATCATCACCCCCTACCTCTAGCTCAGTCAACGACAGCTCATCTGCTTTAGATCGCCTGAATGTACCTGAATCTCTTGCGCAAATGGCCGCTGCGGCCCGGCCAACTGGAGCCCCTGCGGACGATAAAACCTTACGATTAGAAGAGGAGAACAAACGACTGAAGGACGCTCGCGAATGCAAAATTTGCATGGCAGATGAGGTGGGCGTGGTGTTTTGCCCCTGTGGTCATCTAGGTAAATTGGTTGTCAATTTTAAATGAATGAATGCAATAATGTTGAGATTTTAATATTATTTCTAGTATCTTGTGTGCAGTGTGCACCAGCTGTAACAAATTGCCCGGTCTGTCGAGCTGTGATCAAAGGACGGGTGCGCACTTTCCTATCGTAAATAGGCACCACTTCTGCACACTGACCTTATAGCACATTTTATCTGCGGTGGATGGATTTACAATGCAGCAAAAACGAAGAAAATATGGACTTTGCAGTATACTTGGTTTGCACTTGAGACATTATAAAAGAAACATCACTACCAGATCGGAATGTGTAGATACGTTGAGATAAAACTTATCGTATTGTGGAACCTCACGGCGATTCTACACATAAATGAGGTTTACTAACACGTTTGATTAGAATGAATTATCGTTTTTCCTGTCTGTAATGTATGCATAGTATTAATGTTGAAGCAGATTCGCAAATACAATAAATTATTGTATAATTTACACTCTTATTACTAGAAAATCCATCAGTGTTTCACATTTTTCGTGGGCGAAATTTACTCCACAAAGGTTTTTCCAAGATCATGTTAGTAAGCATGCTCTACAATACAAAACAATATTCTTTTGACTAAGTATTCAATGCTATACTACCGGTGGATACTTAATCGTCCCATGTGTATATGTTATTCCATCAGGGGGTAAGTCTTCTTCTTCATACCTTTATTTAACGTCGGTCTCTGTTCCGCAATCTACACGGCGAATGAGAACACCCAAATTTGAGTTTAGTACACTCATAATCGCCGAAACTGCAGGAACTCAGCGATGAGTAAAATTTGTCTCATGGTTTCCTGTGGAAAACCTAAAAAATCTGCCGGAAAATGAGGAAATTGACGAAAATTTTATTCAGTCTCGAAGTAGTACCAATAGACTGAGTGAATCCAATCTTTACTTTTCTCAAATTCGGGAATTTTTCCTTGGAAAAACCTGGGAGAACATGAGGCAAATTTACTCATCGCTGAGTTCCTGCACTTTTGGCGATTATGAGTGAACTAAACTCAAATTTGGGTCGTTCTCATTCGCCGTGTCGTGCCAATCACCGACGGAGATCGATTGCACTGAACCAAAACACCCACCGCCTACTGAATGATTTTTGCCTCACCCAAGCCCCATGCTTATTGGCGTTGACGAGAGCTCTGTAACTCTTTACTCCTATGGAGAAATCTCATATGTAACTGTCAGTCTATGTGTGAAACATGGCGGACTTTTTCTTATTCTCTCACTCCAACGCAAAACCCCTTAAGGAACTGTCAAAATGTGTGTGAAGAAACGTCACTTTGGGACTGGTGTCAAGGCGAATAATCAGATGATTTTAAGAAGATCGTCATTCAATTCATATTTTGTCGGAATCAAGTCAAATGTATGAATATAATTTAAAATCAGCGTTATAATCATACATCAATCAAATCAAAATAGAACTAGATGTGAATGATTTGCATACATAAACTTTTCAACTCATCAGTCTGGTAATGGTAGAAAATCAGATCGTATTTAAATGATGCCCATATCTATGTTGTTGGCTTAATAGAGGAAAATTGAAATATTATTGAAATAAATAATTACACAATTATTCGATTAATCAAAAAAAAAGCTTCTTTTCTACTGTTGATATTATATGAATCATCTCTAATGAAATGATTGTACATATAATTAAATGATCTATAATATTTGAATACTCGCGCAGTCGCAATGCTGTTTGTTCACCACCATTTGCTAACTAGATGAATAACTGAAAGATGATGATAAACCTGAAATAGAATGAAGGGGCTATGAAGAAATATATTCATTTTGGTTCATGATGAAAAACAAACGCTTAATGTGCCTGTTAATATGTGACTGATTATCGGGTGACATAGAAAAAACATTATTTTGAAATGTAAACAAAAATAAAAAAAATTCCTCGATTTAGCGTGACATAATAAATGCATGGGCCTAAATGGGAAATCAACGACGGAGTTTGACGTCCCACTCGTATAACCATTTAAAAAGCAAGAGAACGAAAGAGACTACAAATTCACTACGCCTTTCCTACCCAAGTAACACAAATTCGTAGAATTATGTTGATTAAACTGCTATACAACCAAAACTAGTAATACAAAGGTTATATAAACGGTTATATAACATACTGGTAACACATATATTTACATATAGTTGATGGATGAATAGTAGGCATTCGACAACACATCTTGCCCCTAAAGCCCTCTAGTTAAAGTACGGACGACTGACACCACAAAACTTAAAAAAAGCTGTTCCAATCGAGCAAAACGGTGCATTTTGACGGTTCGATTGGAACAACTTTTGACAGACGTCCATACTTTTACTGTAGGGCTTTACTCTTCCCTGGTTTCATCGTGTTGAACAAGTTGTCATTTCATTTTCATTTTCAAGCACAGAAGGGGGTCATAGCAAAGATGAATACTAAGATGAAACTGTCGGAAGAAAAACTTTCTATGTTAGTGTCCTCTTTCACGGTCCCTTTCATCCAATGAATACCCCCCGGTAATCAAGGTAATTTTGTGGTTTTGCTGCTCCCTCGATAGAGATTAAATTTTGCACTCATTTTTATCAAAACAATCACATCAAAATCAGAGATGTCCCATTTTTTAATTACTCGATTAACAACTAATCGATTATTTTTTGTTCGCTGTCCTGTCATTTTTTCACCAATGAGAGTGCTAAACTTGTTTGAAATGATCGGTGATGATCCTCTGAAGAAGTTAATGCTTATATCCCCGCATAAACGCGAACCATAAATTGACCTTACCTAAAATGGTTAAAAATTGTTTATAATTCCTGCTAAACTTTAACTGAAATGGTTATGGAACTTTACATGAACGTTTAATGATAAAGTTTCAACCTTATGTATTATGGTTTTTTGGAACTGGACCTTACAAATAATGGGTTGTTAAGAACCATTACCATTCCAAATTCTTGTTTTCTCCATACATTTTCAGAAAGAGAACTATATAAAAACGTTTTTACTTATGATTTGAGAACATTAATGGTAATGGTTATGGTAGTCAGTGAGGTCCATTAATGGTTTTGTATTATCGCTCAACTTTACGTGGAATATATCGTGAATTGGTAATCAGTAAATTACAGGCAACCAATTCGCGATATATTCCACATAAAGTTGATCGATGTTACAAAACCATTCGTGGACCTTACTGACTACCATAACCATTACCATTAAAGTTCTCAAACCATAAGTTAAAAGGTTCTAATATAGTTCTCTTTCCGAAAATGTATGGAGAAAACAAGAATTTGGAACGGTAATGGTTCTTAACAACCCATTATTTGTAAGGTTCAGTTCCACAAAACCATAATACATAAGGTTGAAACTTTATCATTAAACGTTCATGTAAAGTTCCATAACCATTTCAGTTAAAGTTTAGCAGGGATTATAAACAATTTTTAACCATTTTAGGTAAGGTCAATTTATGGTTCGCGTTTATGCGGGTCGGCATGATATAACCGATTACAAATATTTTACTGTTCGGTTCGTTAATCGATTAATCGATTATTCGAATGAAAATCGGCCATCACTAGATGAATGTGAAAACTCGCTTCACTTTTCAAATAGACCAATGTAACAAATGTAAACAAATCGAGTTAAGCGATACAAGCTATTGCTCTTCTATCATTGTATGTGATACAAAAACACCCATCCAAATTTACTTTCATTGATTTAAGAAAATCATTGATCAAAAATTGTCCAATGAACAGTTTGAAATGATGGTTACTTGATTGTTACTTCGGTCATTCGGACTGCCTAACATGATTGGTGCATTTTCCAAAGGCGGGGCCAATCTAAAGTTAGATACTATACTCTGAAATCTGTGAAAGGGAATCTAGTATCATGTAAACAAAACGTCCAATGTAACACTAATTGATTATGTCATTGAGAAAAATCGTCCAATGTAACATGTCCGATGTACAACTCGACTTGTCAAAACGTCCTATGTGGTTTTTTCTATGTTGTAGCATGAAATTCAAAGTAAAATTGTGATTTTATCGTTTCTTCTGAATTTTCAACGTTATTATACACTGACTACATTAAAAATAGTATTGCAAAATGTATTGTTTTTAAACAGTTAAAATAATAATCTGTCGAACTTCAACTTCGATTTTATCAAAATGGTGGATATGTTACATTGGTCTATTTGAAAAGTGACGCGAGAAAAGTCATTTCAAATATAAGGACCGAACATAAATAATGATACAATTTAAAAGGGACCGGGGCTAATCACAAATAACCTCCCCACGGTAACTGAAATAAACACGAGTGTTCACCGGTTGGTCATAGGGCCAAGTCACCAGCGAAAAATCGCTGTCCATACTGCACCAGGGTAGAGGTATAGATTTGGCATCACAGAATAATAACCACAGGGGTCAAATGAATCCTGTTTACGATACCGGATAGTAAGGAAAGCTGTTGAACATAGGGGATAGTCAGAGTAACAGCAATAATAGTGAAAGTTAGGAAAATAAGCAGGTAGAGATGGTTGATTTGCAATGGCTATCGACTCTGTTATATGGCCTACCGTATCAGATTCAAATTTAATGTCGTTTAATATTGCGCTTATTACTTTTATCTTTATTCTAAGCAATCTCCTTTCATACTTGTTTGTTTTAAAGTGAACTGGATGAAATGATTGTTTTATCAAAATTATGTTAAAGTTAACTACTATTCATATTTGCTAATTAATACCTAAATGTAATTTTTAATTTTATGAAGATAAGTTGCTCAGAATAGCAGCCTGTAATTCCGTACCAGAATCCGCCTACAATTTAATGTCTTTTGTGGATTCGTAGTAGCAAAGTTGTGCTAAAAGCTAAATAGTTACCTAAAAATACTACCTAAATCGTTCACAATCAGAGCCGGGCCACTGATGAAAACCAAAACTACAACCCTGAAAAAACGAATCGATATTTTCGAAGGCGAACACAACCTATTCTTGCTAGTGATTCTGTCCAATTGTTAGGTATCCAAATTATAGTCATTCGTAAATTTATTATTGCATATATGGATGAATTATCTAATATTGAATAACTATTATTTACGATAATTACATGAAAGAAATAACATATAAACTACAAACAAAACGTGACTACTAAAATCTCAAAAAGATATTCTCACAAGTATATTTCACGCAACCAGGAATCTCAAAACCATTAGACGCTATAATGATACTCTGCACATGTTAGACACAAGAAAAGGCCAAAAAGCAAGCGTCCGACACAAAACCCGCCAAATCCACTGGCAGTCACAATCAACGATTCTACGAATCGCGAGCGCTCACGAATCATAAAACCGCTGACTGCGACACTCTGAAAGCGAAATTGACAGGCTCTATGCGTCAAACATCCGCCCTCCAATCTCTTCCCGCATCCAACAACACAAACCTCCATTACAACATCTAACGAATTCAAAACT